TTGTTTGTTGTTGTGTTGGCCGTGTATTTTTGACCTCCTCTGTCTGTATTCAGACATGTGGTGGTGAGTTTACATTGTTTGTTGTTGTGTTGGCCGTGTATTTTTGGCCTCCTCTGTCTGTATTCAGACATGTGGTGGTGAGTTTACATTGTTTGTTGTTGTGTTGGCCGTGTGTTTTTGGACCTGTTTCCTCTGTCTGTATTCAGACGTGTGGTGGTGAGTTTACATTGTTTGTTGTTGTATTGGCCGTGTATTTTTGACCTCCTCTGTCTGTATTCAGACATGTGGTGGTGAGTTTACATTGTTTGTTGTTGTGTTGGCCGTGTGTTTTTGGACTCCTCTGTCTGTATTCAGACATGTGGTGGTGAGTTTACATTGTTTGTTGTTGTGTTGGCCGTGTGTTTTTGGCCTCCTCTGTCTGTATTCAGACATGTGGTGGTGAGTTTACATTGTTTGTTGTTGTGTTGGCCGTGTGTTTTTGGACCTGTTTCCTCTGTCTGTATTCAGACATGTGGTGGTGAGTTTACATTGTTTGTTGTTGTGTTGGCCGTGTGTTTTTGGACCTGTTTCCTCTGTCTGTATTCAGACATGTGGTGGTGAGTTTACATTGTTTGTTGTTGTGTTGGCCGTGTGTTTTTGGACCTGTTTCCTCTGTCTGTATTCAGACATGTGGTGGTGAGTTTACATTGTTTGTTGTTGTGTTGGCCGTGTGTTTTTGGACCTGTTTCCTCTGTCTGTATTCAGACATGTGGTGGTGAGTTTACATTGTTTGTTGTTGTGTTGGCCGTGTGTTTTTGGACCTGTTTCCTCTGTCTGTATTCAGACATGTGGTGGTGAGTTTACATTGTTTGTTGTTGTGTTGGCCGTGTATTTTTGGCCTCCTCTGTCTGTATTCAGACATGTGGTGGTGAGTTTACATTGTTTGTTGTTGTGTTGGCCGTGTGTTTTTGGACCTGTTTCCTCTGTCTGTATTCAGACATGTGGTGGTGAGTTTACATTGTTTGTTGTTGTGTTGGCCGTGTGTTTTTGGCCTCCTCTGTCTGTATTCAGACGTGTGGTGGTGAGTTTACATTGTTTGTTGTTGTGTTGGCCGTGTATTTTTGACCTCCTCTGTCTGTATTCAGACGTGTGGTGGTGAGTTTACATTGTTTGTTGTTGTGTTAGCCGTGTGTTTTTGGCCTCCTCTGTCTGTATTCAGACATGTGGTGGTGAGTTTACATTGTTTGTTGTTGTGTTGGCCGTGTGTTTTTGGACCTGTTTCCTCTGTCTGTATTCAGACATGTGGTGGTGAGTTTACATTGTTTGGTTAAGTGTTAGTTTTTATTTATAATACAATCTCTTCACATATTTTCAGCATTTTTACCTTTCAGCAATTGAATTAAAGAATTATTATTTCAATTGTTGTTTGGTTCTTTGTTGCTGTAGCTGATTATGATTGCTAGTAATGGTCTTTGTCATGTTAATGTGGATAGGTATGGTCACTTTTATAGTGAATCCGACCCCGATTCTGCATGCCCCAGTGCCGTTCTTGCTTAGAGGTGGGAACCTGTGATGTTTATGTACTTGGCTCTCCCTCTCTGAACTTCAGTGGCTACATCTAGGTGCCCTTGCTTGGGCCAGAATGGTAAATCTTCCAACCGGGGTAAGATCTAGGCACCCTTACTTGGGCTAGAATGGTAAATCTTTTAACCAGGGTAGGACCTAGGTGCCCTTACTTGGGCCAGAATGGTAAATCTTCCAACCGGGGTAAGATCTAGGCGCCCTTACTTGGGCTAGAATGGTAAATCTTTTAACCAGGGTAGGACCTAGGTGCCCTTACTTGGGCCAGAATTGTAAATCTTCCAACCAGGGTAAGATCTAGGTGCCCTTACTTGGGCTGGAATGGTAAATCTTCCAACCGGGTTAAGATCTAGGCGCCCTTACTTGGGCCAGAATGGTAAATCTTCCAACCAGGGTAAGATCTAGGCGCCCTTACTTGGGCTGGAATGGTAAATCTTCCAACCGGGTTAAGATCTAGGCGCCCTTACTTGGGCCAGAATGGTAAATCTTCCAACCAGGGTAAGATCTAGGCGCCCTTACTTGGGCTGGAATGGTAAATCTTCCAACCGGGTTAAGATCTAGGCGCCCTTACTTGGGCTGGAATGGTAAATCTTCCAACCGGGTAAGATCTAGGCGCCCTTACTTGGGCTGGAATGGTAAATCTTCCAACCGGGTTAAGATCTAGGCGCCCTTACTTGGGCTGGAATGGTAAATCTTCCAACCGGGTTAAGATCTAGGCGCCCTTACTTGGGCTGGAATGGTAAATCTTTTAACCGGGGTAAGATCTAGGCGCCCTTACTTGGGCTGGAATGGTAAATCTTCCAACCGGGTTAAGATCTAGGCGCCCTTACTTGGGCTGGAATGGTAAATCTTTTAACCGGGGTAAGACCTAGGCGCCCTTACTTGGGCCGGAATGGTAAATCTTTTAACCGGGGTAAGACCTAGGCGCCCTTACTTGGGCCGGAATGGTAAATCTTCCAACCAGGGTAAGATCTAGGCGCCCTTACTTGGGCCGGAATGGTAAATCTTTTAACCGGGGTAAGATCTAGGCGCCCTTACTTGGGCTGGAATGGTAAATCTTCCAACCGGGTTAAGATCTAGGCGCCCTTACTTGGGCCATAATTGTAAATCTTCCAACCGAGGTAAGATCTAGGCGCCCTTACTTGGGCTAGAATGGTAAAGTTCCAACTGGGTTAAGACCAAACACAAGTCTACCTCCGGGCTGTCTAAGGACGTTGCCCATAGTGATCTTGCGTCTGGTCATTACTTTACCATCGGTTGGTAGCCATGGGGTGACCCCTTCCTTCGAGCCTCAGTCTGGTTCTAGAGTAGACCTGCTCTGATGCCAAATTGATTGGGATCCCTCGTAAGAAAAACCTCAAACTTACTTGTAACAGGTGGAATTAGCTATCTCGGGGCACCTTTGCCGATAATGAACAGATAATTGCTGTCACAAGAAACAGCCCAACTGTCAAATACGGACACTTGCATGGGTTTTTAGCTTACAAAAATCCATTATGGACAGAAAAAATATAATGACCGATATCTCATGTTGACCTCAATCATAATGATCATTTTTCTTTACATAATTCATATGAGGAATATTCAATACATGGAAAAAGTATTATAATTAGCGGGATATGGTAATATCCAATATTGAAATAAGTGGGTTCCACTGCACTAATTATACCAGTTATTACTATATAACTAATTATACCCTGAGTAACTATTTCGTAATTCTTGGCTTTGGTTTACACTACAGATAATACTTTACTATGAAAGACAGAAATTCCATATAATTTTACTACCTGTATAGAGGCTTGTGGTAGAATCCAAAACATCCTAAAAGGAGATCACATAAGAACAGGGAAAAGAATATCTTTGTTTCACCCAGCTTTACTAGTATTACTGTATCTATCTGCTAATAAGCCCACTGAAATACAGTAGTTTAAATCTGCACGCCAAATTACATTTTGAGAACGGAATGGGATTTTCATAATAACATTCTTGCAATAGTCCGGACATCTTTGTTACCATATAAAGAAAATTTGTGTACACCATACCACTAGGCCGTTGCCAGATCCATGCCTGAGGCGACCACCTGTGCAACACGTGTCAGAGATTACAATACTTCTATATGGGAAAAAGAGAATAAATGTAAAATAAATACCAAAGTGAAAGTCTTGGTCTGGTCTTTTTTTTCAAATTCTGACAATTATTCCCAAAATATTCCCTACTTTTATACATAGCAAGTTCTATATGGAGAGAAATGTTGTTCCTTCTGTATTTTGCATGATTTTGAATGTTGGTAGTGACAAGGATAAAACGTTTTTCAAACATACATGTAAATCATTAATGAGATAAGATACAGAAAAATAAAAAATGAAATTGAATTTAATATTGATATCATAGAAAAAATAAGTAAAATTAGATGAACTCCAATGGAGTCATCATCCTTTAATAGTTTATTATTAATACCTGATATAGAAAATGATAATGTTAATGAAAATGGATTTTAGAGAAAAAAAAAAAATTAATTGCAATATTGTATTGGTTTCAAATGAACTCATCAGCAGTAAATGTTTACAGCATATTTAACCAACTCACTTGATTCTAAAAATAGAATAATTCCGCATGACAAAAAATTGTCTTATATGCCTGGAAAATACTATAGCATCCAAATTGTGTCAGCTCACATGTGAAATACACTGTATGCTGTGCATGTAACATTCAGAAAGTAAAGGTTATAAAAAATTTACATCGCTGTTGATATCAGGCAGACTTACAACAAATACACCCACAATATTTGACTTCAATGAAAAACAACTTTTACTTTGGAAATTTTTGTATACAATGTTTTATAGAAAGGAAACATGTCTTGACAAAGAAAGACATTAATAAATATCTGCATTAATAGTAAATAATATGTAGACATTCTGAAAATAACAAATGGTATTACACTGGTGACTTAATTGTCATACAATCAAGAGAGATAACTCCAGGCACATTGGCCATTTGACTAAACTCAGCAAGAAAACTCTTATTTCAGAAAATTTTGGGCTGGTAACAAAGATGTCTGGATAATTGAGGGTCCGCTGTATATTTTTTTCATAGAACTTGAAACAAATGATATTTCATTATCCTGCAATAAGCCTCTATCGTCTTACTTTGTATCATAATTTGTATGTTGCTCCCTAAACGCTCAACATATATGGTACAAATACCAGCTTTCAATGTCGACACAGATTTCATTTAGTTTGATTATCACAGACAATTATTAATTTAGAGGAATTTGACCGTGCAAATATGTAGAGGTCTGGATGTAGACAGCCAAGTTGGAAATTGAAGACTTAAAATCCCTTGAAGCAGGATGTTAATCCTCCAAGTTCTAGATAAATTGGTTACCCTGACTGAAATGAGGTGACTTTTTAATATACTTCTAACGAGGTCTCTAAACTTACCCGCCATTGTGTTGTATGCCATGGCCATCCCGATCATCTGACACATCACCATCCATCAGAGTGCCTGGCTGAAAAACACAATGTACAAAAACAGTTAAAAAACAGGTCAAATTTTATCTGAAATCCTCATGAATGCAGATTTCCTTAATATCTAACATATGTTATAAAAGGTTTTCTTCCAGTCTCAGCATACACTTTTCACTAAATTTTCATGTATGTGATTCTTCCTGGCATAAAAATAATGTTGGTTTCCCAAATTAGTCCTTGTTACATACTCTAATGGGAATTCTTCTAAGTTTCAGTAAAAATAAGACCTCCTGGTTGGGTCAAACTCAAAGTCAATGAAACATCAGAACAACTAATCACCTTTGTACACAAAACCACATATACTCCAAAACTTTAAAAAAAAACAATTCAAAATGATCTGTCAACTTTGATCCCAGCATGCTTCACATTGACCTTCATACTTGTTATTATATGTTTTATATACATGTATAAAAAAAATCCCTGACAATCCTGAAGGAAGAACATTGACATAAACACAAGCCTCACCGGGATCTGATTGCATAAGCCATATATACATAACAAACTGTGAAATAAACGAATATAGCTGATCACCTTGGAGATAGTGTTACTTTGAGACAACTATACCTTGTATATAGGTGTTACCTGGGATTTACTACAACATCAATGTATTGTAGAGCTGACTTCAAATTACAGCTACCTGTAAAAAAAGTACCAAGCACACCAATCTACCTGTAAAAGTACCAAGCACACCAATCAACCTGTACAAGTACCAAGCACACCAATCTACCTGTACAAGTACCAAACACACCAATCTACCTGTACAAGTACCAAGCACACTAATCTACCTGTAAAAGTGCCAAGCACACCAATCTACCTGTAAAAGTGCCAAGCACACCAATCTACCATAAGGTTGTAAACAACTACCGGTATGAAATATCTGTATCTGAATTCCTGAATCCCAAGTTCATCTTAAACTGAACCAGTTACTGCCCTTATGACATTCTGAAGGGTTCTTTTTTCAAATTGTTTTAAATCTTTGGAATTCATCTTATCCCATTTCTGACAAACACTTACTCCACCCATAATACTTTTATTATTTCCTGAATATCATTGCTAAATTTTCTGTAGAACAGTTTTCTTTCCTGAACTGTCACAATCTAAGGAATTCTCACATCTATTGAACCTACTGAAACAATTCTTAATTTTGGGGTGTGTCTGGAGGTTTTGATGAGTTTAAGTGAAATCTGAATATGTTTCCATTAATTAACAGCATTGCAGGTGCTATCAGGAGTGACATAAACACTTAAACCTTCAATTACTTTGGCTGGAAATATATACAGCAAACAAAGGTCAGAAAATATTTTTACTTGTCTAAAACCTACAGAGAAAATGTTGATTTTGGAATAACCATAAAGGGTAAAGATTACAAATGATAACTGAAAGAAAAAAGAAAATATCCTACCATGAAACAAAAAGAACTTGCTGAGAATAATGATATATTGTTAAACCCTCTGAATACTTCGATTTGGCCTGCAATCTTTGTCTATCTGTCATGTTATAAGAAACATTAGTAAAGTATCAGTAAACTGGATGTTCTTAGCTACTGTAGTTCTCGGGTTACATAGAAGTCACATCCTGACCTGTGATTATAACAACATGGAACTCCAGGTACTCTTGGCCCACTGTACTGTGATGTCAGAGTATTGATCTAAATATTTCAACATTCATAGTCAACAGTAGTTTAACAGTTTATACAATAAAAAAATAAATCATCTCAAAACCAAACGCTGAAAAAATGAGGAAGTTTTTAGTTACCTGCAGTCCACCAAATTTTGAGTGTGATTTTGTCGCCAAAACCTGTCACACCTGAGGGTAGTCCTTGTAAACAGGACTTGGGCCATTTGACAAGACTTCTAGTAACTTAAACTCGTCCAATTACATGTGTATATATCTATAACTGTGACATACCTATAAGAGAGATGTCGTACAATAGGGAAATAAACCCCACATATTCTGTTGTTCAGAAAATATCAGCCGGGGAATACACAGCACACTTATCGCCTCAGTGATTTTGAAAGTGTGAGTTTCAGTCTACCTGTATGTTGGGAAAAATGAATCGTCTTTCCTTTCAATACAGTTGGGCATTATCTGGGTAAATATTATTACTAAAATTTATATACATACAGTTGCAGTAATTACAGGCATTACTTTAAACTTTGTAGATATGTTTGCTACATTGATAAGAGTAGTAATCGTGCAGAAAAGCTGCTTAGGAGCTAAAACTTAACAAGCAATATAGAATATTCTGTTGAAATGTAAGTATTTTGTTTTTTGTAGGTTGATAAATATCACTTAACATCAAACTGACACAAACAGAGCCAAGATTTCATAGTTTGTAATGTATGAATAAACACACACTTCAACAAACATATTACTAAGCATAAGTGATATGAAACAGATCATAAAAAAAAAATATACTTAAAAATCTCCTTTCTATATAGATTTTGAATAAGTATAGTGTAGACAAATATGAATCAATAGTAAAGTTCTGTGACAGAGCTTATAAACTTAACATATTACTATACAAAAACAGTAAAAAGTCCAAACCTCGTCCTTCACTTTTCTATGTATCATCAAAACCAGGTAAAATTTCCTCTCCTCTGGTATAACAAAAGGGAAAGTGGAGGAGATATTAATACATTAAAAAGATCTTAATTATTCTGGTGATAACTTGTTGTCAGCTAGAATGAAAGCTTTCTGTATTCAATTATTTATTCCACATTTTTAAGGTAAGGACTGACCCCTACTGACACTCAAGTGTCAGAAACGCTCTTATCATAAATAGCCTCCTATGTCCAGCTTGTTCTCTCCACTTAGTGACACAGACATTTGGTAGAGAACACAGGGTAGACTTATACAACTTAGTGACACAGAACTTTGGTACAGAACATAGGTGACAACAGACCTTTGGTACAGAACACAGGTGACACATACATTTGGTACAGAACACAGGTGACACATACATTTGGTACAGAACAAAGGTGACACAGACCTTTGGTACAGAACACAGGTGACACAGACCTTTGGTACAGAACACAGGTGACACATACATTTCGTACAGAACACAGGTTACACATACATTTGGTACTGAACACAGGTAACACAGACCGTTGGTACAGAACACAGTGAAAAGACCTTTGGTACAGAACACAGGTGACCCAGACCTTTGGTACAGAACACAGGTGACACAGACCTTTGGTACAGAACACAGGTGACACAGACCTTTGGTACAGAACACAGGTGACCCAGACCTTTGGTACAGAACACAGGTGACCGAGACCTTTGGTACAGAACACAGGTGACCCAGACCTTTGGTACAGAACACAGGTGACACAGACCTTTGGTACAGAACACAGGTGACCCAGACCTTTGGTACAGAACACAGGTGACACAGACCTTTGGTACAGAACACAGGTGACACAGACCGTTGGTACAGAACACAGGTGACACAGACCTTTGGTACAGAACACAGGTGACAAGGACCTTTGATACAGAACACAGGTGACCCAGACCTTTGGTACAGAACACAGGTGACACAGACCTTTGGTACAGAACACAGGTGACACAGACCTTTGGTACAGAACACAGGTGACAAGGACCTTTGACACAGAACACAGGTGACAAGGACCTTTGGTACAGAACACAGGTGACAAGGACCTTTGATACACTAAGGGTAGAAACAGTAATACCACTAAGTACAAAAAAGTTATTGAATCATTCATACCAGTAAACAGGTCACAAAAATCATCTTATCACTGAGAACTCATCAAGACTTTGGACATTGTTACATATCTGATTACAGTCTGAGACTTACTGTAAACCTCTTAAAGTATTACTTACATTAAAGAAACACAAATAGCTACTATTTAGGTCCTATGTGAGTGGACCTTGTGTAGACGGTGTCACTATGTGTTAGTGATATTTGTAGAATTGTGATGGGGTGCCAAAATTCAGATATTTTTGTTGGGATGGGTGGGGGTGTACAGGAATGATCAGAACAGTGAGATATGGTTGGTGGGATGGGTTGGGGGTGTACAGGAATGATTGGAAAAGTGAGATATAATTGGTGGGATGGGTTGTAGGTGTACAGGAATGATCAGAACAGTGAGATATGGTTGGTGGGATGGGTTGGGGGTGTACAGGAATGATCAGAACAGTGAGATATGGTTGGTGGGATGGGTTGTAGGTGTACAGGAATGATCAGAACAGTGAGATATGGTTGGTGGGATGGGTTGTAGGTGTACAGGAATGATCAGAACAGTGAGATATGGTTGGTGGAATGGGTTGGGGATGTACAGGAATGATCAGAACAGTGAGATATGGTTGGTGGGATGGGTTGTAGGTGTACAGGAATGATCAGAACAGTGAGATATGGTTGGTGGGATGAGTTGTGTGTACAGGAATGATCAGAACAGTGAGATATGGTTGGTGGGATGGGTTGTAGGTGTACAGGAATGATCAGAACTGCTAGATATGATTGGTGGGATGGGTTGTGGGTGTACAGGAATGATCAGAACTGCTAGATATGATTGGTGGGATGGGTTGTGGGTGTACAGGAATGATCAGAACTGCTAGATATGATTGGTGGAATGGGTTGTTGGTGTACAGGAATGATCAGAACAGTGAGATATGGTTGGTGGGATGGGTTGTGGGTGTACAGGAATGATCAGAACTGCTAGATATGATTGGTGGGATGGGTTGTGGGTGTACAGGAATGATCAGAACTGCTAGATATGATTGGTGGGATGGGTTGTGGGTGTACAGGAATGATCAGAACAGTGAGATATGGTTGGTGGGATGGGTTGTGGGTGTACAGGAATGATCAGAACAGTGAGATATGGTTGGTGGGATGGGTTGTAGGTGTACAGGAATGATCAGAACTGCTAGATATGATTGGTGGGATGGGTTGTGGGTGTACAGGAATGATCAGAACTGCTAGATATGATTGGTGGGATGGGTTGTGGGTGTACAGGAATG